ATGTTGCTATAGTTCACAGAACTCTCTTAAAGTTCGTTGAACTTACCAGGAAGACATTGAACTTTCTTGAAGTTTATAGAACTTCTCCTCTGAAGATCGATGCACATCTTTCAAGTCTGAAGAATTTTCCTGAAGTTTGTAGAGCTTTCCTGAAGCTCAATGAACTTCTCTGAAAGTTGTTGAATTTCGTTGCTTCTTTGAAAGAACTTCTTTAAAGTTTGCAGAACTTTCCTTATATTCATTACAGATCCCTATAGTTCGCAGAATTTACTAGAAAGTCACTGAACCTTCCTGAAAGTTTCCTTAGACAAAATATGGGAACTGTAATGAAGCTCTACCAATTCTGTAGTAATTCAAGGTAAAGGGCTACCTAAACTCACTGGGCAAGAGTAGCTAATCTCATGTGAGTTTCATTCCTGTATTATGTCATTATCGGATAAACGATTTTCAAACAAATTCGTCATGGTTGCCAGAATTTATTTTCGATCTCACCGTTGAGTCAAACATCTCTATTTATTTTAAAAAATCTAAGAAAATTTTCCACCCCTCAGGATGTGTTGGTGACAAGTGCCACCTTCGCCACCTGCTGAGTACGGGACACAAAACTTCCAGATACCTGACATATCCTTTATTGAACTCCGGTAAAAATCTTTCCACGATCGTCGCTATTGTCTGTTATGATTTTTTTACAGAGTCGCTTTTTCGAAGCACATCAAGCTATGTTTTTTTTTATGAGGTTTTTTAGCTCTTCCAGATTTTCTACACGATAAATCTATAAAAAAAAACACTCGAAACAGGACGAAACCCAATGCCTACTATGATTACGTGTAGAGGTGGGCAAAACAGTTCATCTAGCTGAGTGGATCAAACTCATCCAGATAACTAAACGGACTCGATTCTTTTGAACAGCTCTTCAGCTCACATTGAAATCATAGAAATTTTGACAGAAATTCAAAATCGGAAAATTAATTTGTGGTTTTAGTGCATAAAACTGCATAAAATCGTAAAAGTAGTCTAAACCAATAAATCCGTACCTTTTATAATATGGCACTACTTTTCAATGGAAAACGCCAATAACGCAATAACTGATCAACCATCGCGTAAACCAAAATGCGCGCAAAATGTGCCAACAACATATCAGTAAAAGCAAAAAAATGTATGCGAGAGAGCTACACGCGATAATATGATCCACATCGTGACACACGATGTTACGCCTTTTCTCAAGCTATGCAATCCAGTCTACATACAGATTTTATTTCTGATGTTAATTCTCCAGCAGAATTTCTCTCACTATTATCGGCTTCAGCTACAGCTCATCAGCTCAGATCCGGATCCGGAGCTGAATCGTGAAGAATCGAGAGAGAGAAAAAGATCCGAAGAGCTGGACGGGTAAGAGAGTTGTCAACTGCTCCCAGTGAATTATTCGAGTAGATGATTCGGATCCGGAGCTGAGCTGATAAGCTGGAGAGCTGCATTTCGCTTTTCGGTTATTTGCTTTGTGCGGATCTTCCGCTCCCCCAGAGAATGATGGGAGGAGAGGTGAGAGCACATATGCTGGAGGAATAACATCAGCAATAAGAGCTGGGTACATAAATAAATTGGATAATACCAGTAGAATATTAACATCGGGTAGCACATTTGCATACTATACCTCTCTCCCAAACAGCCGCTTGGACGTTTGCTTTTACCATTGGTGCTGTCCTAGGCGAGTAAGAGAGGTGACACAGTCGGAAGAAATGTTAGTTTGTTTACTAAAATGAACCGACCATTTTGTTATGGCAAGTTTTGCTATAAGAAATGCTCCTCGTGTCTATTAGCGAAATTCACATCAAAGATTATTATTATTATTTAGCTTTATTTAGGAGGCTTTCCACATCAAAGATGGATTAATTGCGCACGAAATCAGTTTAGCACGGCATTTGTGACCAGCATACACCTTCCGGTCGTATGGAACAGGTCAAAAACTGTCCAAATCCGCAGAGAAAATTTTTTGTTTTGAATTTATGTATGGCAAAATAGTGAACTTTTCGTGAACAATAACGGCAAAGAACTCACCAACACTGGGAGACCGTGAGTTCCTGCCCACCTGTCATTTGCCATCTCGGGTGCTGTCGATCAGTAGGCACATGGTGTATTACGCTTGCGTCTTGGTTTACGCGGTGACTATTCAATGCGTAAGTGGAGTAATGAGTCCTTTTTTGAAAAGTTCCGCTATCAATGATGGATGAAAATGAACCGCGGGTCATCAGCTCACTTTAGAGAATCGGGTCTATAGAACAGCTCGGGAGCGGATCGCCCATCTCTAATTACGTGGCTGTCACGAACTGTCCTACTCGTTTCTTTTTCTTTTACTCTCATGAGGAAAGAGAAATTAAATAAGATGTTGTACTACCAACAAATATAAAATGATTTTGCGCAAAGTCGTCATAATAAATATGGATCTTACTTACAAAGAGAACTTCTTTAATGCCTTTTAGATTAATTCAATCAATTTTTGAACCTTATTTAACTGCTTTTTTTTTTTTTAATTCGCAATAGTTTTGTATAGTACATATTCCATATGCGTCTTGATAATCGCCTCTGTAAACTTCAAAACACGTTTTCTCAAAAAACCCAAGATGAAATATTTTAAAACCATCTCTAATTTGATTGTTAGGATCAACACTAGCATCCTGTGAAGAAAAATCTGAGGTACATGAATGTTGCAAAAATAGTGCCTTCAGACATAGCGTGTGCCTATTCTGGACGGACTTGGCAAGCTGCCACTACTCAAATTCCACCAAACAATGGTACAGTGAAACATCAGCCAAACACTTACAATGGGAACAGGGCTCGTACAAAAGATAATGGGCCTTGTACAAAGAAAAGTTTGAGAAATGGCCTATGGTAAGAAGGAAGACTGAAACAATGGTCGTACAATAAGCATAATACTTACAAATGTATAGCTGCTACATTGAACTATGACAAATAAAACGCATTTTAAACCCTCAACAAGATTTTCGTTTCCGGATTTTTTCGTGTTCAACCTTTATAATGTCGCTTTCCCAAGTCGACCTAATAACTCACTTTGTTTGTTCGGCCCAGTAGAATGAATAGCAACTCCTGTTGTAGAAGAATTATGCTTTTTTTCAGTAATTCAAAAATTAGATCTGGGTATCTATATCATTTAATATTTGAAAACGCTATCTCGACGTTTCATTCCTCATTTCGGAAATAGTTCTAATAGGGTTTTTGATCTAATTTCCGTCCTACTAAGGACAACCCCCGCTTTACCTCTCTTTTTTGAACCTTTCCATACGTACCGTTGGATTTGATGAAGAGTCACAAATGGTTGAGATATTGTTCAAAATCTAATACTGCTTCTTGATTCTAAATTCGTCCTACGAGTTTCAATTCCGTCCAAACGCATTGAAACGCCCGTAGATTTTCTTCGTCCTACGGATAAACGTAAAAAAAGGGGATTCGCTAGGGGCGCTTCTTTTGTTTTGAGTACAATGAGCGTAAATATTCATACAATGCGCTCTAATATGATTGATGTTGTAGCTAATGAACTAACGCATCTGAAAAAACCATTTATTGATTTTTTTTTTTTTTTTTTTCCTTTGGTTTGTTTTTTCCGTCGATCTTGTTTTCCGTGCTGAGCACCAATGCTACCGACGTGCCAGGAAGGCAGCTCCCACACCTGGACCCTACCTATCGACCCATCAACTCATGAACCGGGGACCAACGGCTTTACTTCCCTTCCGAAGGAAGGCGTGATCAGAGATGTTATGCCTCAGAACATCCCGGCGGCGCCGACTGGGATTGAACCTAGGCCTACTGGGGTGAGAGGTAATCACGCTTACCACTACACCACCGGCGCCGTTCATTTATTGATTTGTTCATGCTGAAATCATTGATATTATTGATCTTTTCTGAGATCGACACCCTGAGAACACCGTATATAATTAAACAAAACATTATCGTTAATGGTTTGGTTTCTTTTTGGAAGGCTCAATCGCGTTAGCTTTACGGAGCTGATAATTCATTGTTAGAGGTTTGTTTATGAACATATCCAACGGCCCATTTCAGCTTTAAAAAGTGCTTCCTGTAGTTCTGATGCCGAAGATAATTTTCTCACAAACTTCTTAAATTTACAACTTGGTCTCGTTTTAAAACATGAATCATTAAACAGTTTCGTTTTTTGCAGAGTATTAACAGGCGGGAATTTTTTAAATTTCTATAGGGAAAACCGGGAATTTCAAAATTAAAATTCACTGGCCACCCTGAATCTCTTCCAAAACTGCCTAAATGGTATTCATAAATCTTCAAAACCCGGAACTTCAGTAAATACTTCCCATTTTTTTTCCTCTGCTCGGGACCTAACACTACTGCGACCAGTAAATTGATCTATTGTAGTATATCCCGTGTCCTTAGTTTAGTACATGTCGTATTACTCCATTACTATTGAGAAATGATGAAGTATTCGATTTTTTTACAGTTGCCACTCTTGCATTTATCGCAAGGATCCGACTCTAATTGTAAGGTCCCGCTATTAATACCCTATCGGAGTGTTGAAACACCCTCCAAAGGCGCGCCCCTTTGTCAGTAAAAATTGGATTCCTTAGCAACAAAATTAAGGTATGACACCGATAATAACCATGCATCAGAACCCTAGTCTTAACCACTTCAAACGAGGGAACAACGAATAGAAGATTAGGAATCACATAGATGAAGACAACTAACTCATTTTTTGCCTTGTTTCAAGATCATCCTCGGTAGACAAAGCAACAAGGCATAAAAAGTAACAAGGACTAAGATGTGTTCCTTGGATTACTGAAAAATCCTGTTCCCCTAGTTTGAAGTAGTCAGGACTAGGAATCGGTGGTAGATCTTATATCCCGTAACGAACCACGAAAAGGTGATCTACCCACACTTCCAATAATCCCGTCCTAGTTGAAAAAAAATATCTTTTTTTAATCCTTAACCGCTGTTAAATTTTCTTATTTGGTGCCGTAACGTTTTGCTTTCTTCCCCATTTCAGAAAACTCATTATTCACAATAATAAAAAAAAAAATCGTTTTCAATTCGATCAACTTCTCACCATCCCAATTTCGTCCTGTGTTGCTACCCATTCTACTAAGGTCAAGTTAAAGCCCTACCTAATGGCAAAAGTTTTTCGTCTTTTCGATTTTCCTTCCATGGATCCGTTCCGGGAACATTAACGATATCATCATCTATCTCTGCTCAGCGTCTCTTTCTCACTTACGATGGGCGATGGGCCTTTCGGGGGCAACGTGATCGAAATATTTCATCTCTTCACCTTTTGGTTTTCGCTGCTGCCGGGATCCCCGTAGATGCGGCAACGGACGGATTTATAAAGTTTTCCCTAACCACACAACCACAGGTTGGGGCAAAACTTTCCGTGCCATGTATATTGGAAGCGATGGTCAACATCAAATCGACCGGAGACAGTGCGAAAGGTTAATTTGCTTTTGGATGTGTCCGAACTCAATGCTGATGACGATTACTGAATCTGTTTCCCGAGAGGACATCCGAGGTCATCATATTTCAAGAATTGTCGAAGTTTTGTGTAACATCTGGTTGGATTTACACAGATGAGTAAAACTTATTTCTTGGGGAAGGGAATGGCGAATAATCGCTTTATTGTTTGAAATGGCAGGATACAGTTTGTTCACTATGCACTTTTGAGACCATCATTCTAGGGTAGTGCAAGCGTTGATCCAGTGACGAAGGCCTAGGGAAGCATTGAAAGCATACAAAGCCAGATCGGCAACGCATTCCAGTAGACCGGCCTTGGCTTGACTCAATACAGGTTCGGCCGCAGCCGTTAACCGACCAACGGTGAATCCCAGCTTGAGTGATTCCATTTCCACTTCCAGTAGGACCTACGGAAAATGTAAAACGTTAGAGCTATCCAAAGTGTATGGGATATAACTCTCACCGAAGAAACACAAGCTTCCTGGTAGAGGTCGCTAATCTCGTCGACAAAGTCCGGGTTCGCGCAAACCTCCAGTCGATCTTCGATGTCCCCAGAGAGGGCAAGAAACTCCGTCAAGTTATTGTTTGCTGCTTCGCGAAGTTCATACAATTCCAGAAGTTTCCTCTCCAGGCATCCATTTCTACTGCGGTTGTCAACCGCCTGGATCAAGTCTTCCACAAGCACCTCCCGCTCCAAACAGCTTCTAGTGGTTTCGTTCAGTGCGGCCACATTCGCCCTAACATGCTCCGGAAATTCTTTCAACCAACGGTTGTTCTCATCACGGCGAAGCTCCCTAGCGTATCCTACGATATCCCGTATGGCTTCGTCGATCCACGCTAGACGACCGGTGACTACAGTTTCCGACTCGTTTCGATAACCGTCCACTACGGTGTAGATTGCTTCATTTAACAGATTTTCGGTTGCTTCTCCTGTTAGGGCACTTCCGTTGAACCGCGCCAGATTGATCTGCAGATTATTGATCATCGTTCCGTAGTCGGTAAGCTCGGCGTTGGTATTCTCCCGATTTCCGATGGAGATGTTGTACACGGATGCGACGGCGGCACTGGATGACGTTCCGGAGCTCGACGTCGATGCAGTGGTTGTGGTGGCCGTAGTCGTAGGCCAGAACCAACCCCAACCGAAGGCTTCAGTACCTTTGGAAGGTAGCAAAACTACAGCTACAACCACTAGGAACCGATCAATGGAGATCATCTTGCAAGGTGTTCGATCACAATACGTTCTTTGACGGCACATCTCATAGCTTTTATACATTCTATCTTCGATCGCACCTAGTCAAGCCGTGTTTACGCAACTGTTGACCTTTAAGTACGAGGAATTTGAATTGCTGAACTGCGCCCGTCGTCCAGCAGAAGGGCACCATCTGTTGTCCTAATCATCATATTCATGACGACAACAGCGACGTTCGTCAGCGCCATTTGTGAACTTTCTAATTAGGATATCATAAAAGAAGCCTCCGGCTTTCATTTGAGAGGTAAACCTTTCGCCGACACGCAAACCCATCGAAAAGAGGCTTCGTGTCATGTATATGTAAATTGGGACACACCGTCTTTTAAAGAACCTGGAAAAAAACATCCACCAGCTATGGGGTAATAATCACCCTCTCAGTTACACGAGTCTTAAGTTTTCCGTATCTCTTGCATTTGGTTCATTGGATTTTTTTTTTAGTGGGCAATGTCGTGAATGAAGGTAATTTCTTTCTCGATTGGTGATTAGCGGAGGTGAGACATAAATCAAGACGATTACTTGGCGCTTTTTCGAGGTCGTTTAGATATGTTTTGAAATTTTATGACGCGGTCGGCTGTAAGGCAACAGCCAAATGCGGTCTTGGCATAACTCGGAATGATATTCTGAATCGGTCATCGGGCTCGGGGGCTTCATATCGCAAAAAATGTTTACGGATGGAATGGCCTTTTTGCTTGGAAGTGGACGAGTAAACTTTTCGTTACACGGTCAATTCTCCGTTGCTCGATATTTTACCTAACTCGATGAAATTCAAAGTCCCTTCAAATTAGCAAGCAATGCTCTCTCCCCAACTATATATTTCCCTAACTGTTGGATACTTCCTTTGCTCGGTGGGTTTTTGATTATTTTTTCGATGTTTTTTCACCTCCCTAAGTCGCCGTTGTATTATTTTTTGACGATAATTTTAGATAATGCCACCGCAGTGAAATTTATTATTGAGATTCAAAATTGAGCCTAGTTGTGATCTAATAGTGTTAAATTATGAGTAAAATCTAAAAATATTCAATTTTTCTGATAGTCTGTAACTTGATAGCCCCCTATGTTGATGGTCCCTTGAACATCGAATAAGAGTGAGTTGACTGTAGTTTATAATGGCATAATGGTGCTAAAATCTGCCCTTTCTACGATTTAGCTTAAGAGCAGTTCCACTCCAAATGAAGAATCGGAAATCCTTGACCTTCTCTGATTTGCATGAAACTTTGTATAATAGAGTTGAGATGAAATGCTATACTAATATCTAGCTTTAGTAGTTTATTAGCTACACACTTAGTAAAAATCATATAAATTTAGGTGCTCTGAGACTGACATACACGAGCGTCAATTTTGACATAAAATTGAGTCATAACAGACACAAAATTCAACGTACTCTTTCTGTCGAGTAACGAACTTTTCAGTCTCGGAGCACTTAATTTTACATGACGTATTTTTTTACGTCTGATCCTTTATGTTAAAGATGGATTCCGTCACGTGTAAAATTAGTTATTTCTATGTATGTAGATAAAGTTCTAAAGAAGGTAGATTGATAGTTCCGCTACAGTACGGCAGTGCGAAAATTGAACAGAAGTTGAAATTGAGCGAAGGGCCATTAATGCGACAGTACTAATCAAACGCTCACTCCTTTGCCTAGCTCATACATTAATGGATGAGGGAACACAGGCATTTTTGCTTGAATTCGGTCATTTCTGTTCTTGTAAAATTTTCAAAACGGCGTCTAACATTTTTCTTAAAACAATGGCACAGAAACGATGCTCCTTACCGAAATGACGTCTGAGACAAAGTTCTAGAGAAAAATAATATTTTTTTCTTGGGAAAATGTACAAACAAATATTTTTAGTTTTTTCAAGTAAACATTCCAAAAAATGTTAAGAACCTAAATATCTAAAAATGTCCTTGTCAGATTTTTTTTTTTTTTAACAGCTCATGAAATGCAATTTTTTGAAATGTTTAAAATTATGGACACTTAAAAATTGACTAAAATCTCAGAACAAGAACTTTTGTTAAAATTTTTGGATTTTTTTTTCTTGGCAGAATTCTATAAAAAATCTTTAAATTGTTAGATCCCTGAAAGTTTCTTCCGAACAAGGATCACGAAGATTTTTATAATTTACAAATCTGGAAAATATATATGTAGTAGTCGAAGACTATGAACAAATGTTGAAAGCAATTTTTAAAACTTTCTTAAATCCCAAATGGTTCTTGCTGAATATAAGCAACCAGGAAATATTTAAGATTTGCACCCGGAAACCCGGGAAAAAATCGGGAAATTAAAAATGAAAATTCACTGGTCACCATATTCTTACTTACCTTACCAATCAGGCTAAGGCCTTGATGTCCTCTGCTGTCCGAAGAAGTCGTCTCCACTCTACTCTGACCGCACGTCCCCAGCCTGCAAAGGGTCCGCAGGTCACCTACTAGGTACTTGGTCCTCCACGATCATAGTCCAGTTCTCGTGGCCGAAGGGTATTCGACCGCAGCGTCCTCCGGAGTTCAAATTACGATTCCCTGCCATAATGCGTCTTTGAATTTCTCTGCTGGTATCATTTTCGGCGGTCACCAGTGAGCCCAAATACACGAACTAGTCGACCACCTCGATTTCGTCAACGTCGAACTCCTGCTCTTGAAATTTTCTCTAAAACTCACCCGCTATTTTCCGTACGATTTCCATGTAATTATTCTCATTATTCTCTCCCATGAAGTCTTGAAGTTCTCCATCACCCCCCCCCCCCTGGAATTCTTCTAAGAATAATTTTGGAATTCAAGTCAGACCTCCGTTGAATTTTTCTCCGAGTTTTCTCAGAATTTGGTAGAAATAATTCAGCATTTATTTGGAATTTTTAAAATTTTCTAATAATTATTTCTAATTATTTTTATTCTGAATGTTTTTTAAAGTCGTCCAGGAACCATATTATTTTTGTTTCATCAAAAAACCATATTAAGTTTTTCAGTTTTATATTTTTGAAGGTAACAAGTTTTGTCATTTTTTTTTATTATTATTATTACTTACTTCAATTTCTGATCCTAGAGAAATATTCTGCAAAAACCCAAAACTTGATAACTTAAAAAAAACTGAAAAGCGAATAAAACACATCACTGATTTTTTATATGATATAATATGATAGCCTAAATAATCAAGGAAAAAATAAAAACATATTGCGCCCTCTGTCTCCAAACCATGAAAACCATAAAAAAAACAAATGAAATAAATGTTTTTTTTTCAACACACAATCCCAATTTTTTATATCATTATATTTTTCCTAAAAGTATGTTTAGTTACCTTTCATTTGATATTTTGATCTTTGATATCGGCCTAGTGGTTTGAAAGTTATAAATTTTTGAAAAACTATGCTAAGGGGCTGTTCATAAACTACGTAGATAGTTGGGAGTGAGGGGTTAGCAATTATCCACGACCCAAACAAATTTTAAAATTTTTGTATCGACAGTTGTCTACGCAGGGGGAGGGGGGTTCATGAATTTAAAAAAAACTGTCTACGTAGTTAATGAACAGCCCCTAACATGGAAATGGTCACCCTAACTACAAAAACCGTTTTGCTATGGAATGGCTGAATTTATCAAGCTCAAAATTTCCGGAGATGAACCAGTTTCGAGTTGAAAGTCTTCTAATTAAAGTAAACTTAACCTCAAGGTCAAGATTTTTAAAACAATAGCCTAATTTGATCTCTCACGCTAGAATAAAAAAAAAAAAAAACTTGAAATTGGATGTCACATGGGTCATTCCAGCTCAAGTGGGTACACCACCTGTAGTCGATGTCATTTTACTGTAGTTACTATAACAAAAACAAAATTTTTGTACATTTATAAGAATCTAAATTAAAAACCCTGCAAATGGACGTCCTAGGATCACGAATAGCTTATTTGGTTTTGAAGCAATCTCTTCTGAGAGTTGAAATTTTTTAAAATCTCGAAAGTACAGGGTTGTAGCCCAGAAGGATCTAGGCACTTCAGAGCAAAATCAAAAAAGGCCTATGTTCAGAATGCCAAAATAAGCGTTTTGGCCAAGTTTTGATCAAATCGGTGACACCGACCACAACTTTTTTAAATTCTGTACCCACTTGAGCTGGAATGACCCATATTTGAATACGTTTTAATATCTTGGTACTTTTAAATCATAAATGGACTCGAGCTTAAAAAAGTTTTTCAAATTAATTCTAAGCATCGAGTACATATCGTGAGTCTAGACTTTCGTTTTTTGCTGAATATCATCAACCAGGATTTTTTTCTTTATTTGAACCGGGAAAACCGAGAATTTCAAAATGAAAATCCACTCACATTTGTACTAAAATTTTGCCATTTTGGTAATAGATTGTAGCCTGAAAACGCCTTTTCTTATTGAAATGACGTTGAAACGCCTCCGATTCGTTAGCTTTCTACTTATTTTATCTACTAGGCGCGGTGTTAGTATCAATGGGTTTCGTAACGGGTTAAGTTTTTTTTGGCCTATATAACGATTTAGTCATGGCTATATTTAACACAAATGGCGTATTCCATTGGTAGTATGTACTAAAAATCTCCATTTAGAAATTTGGAAAAGTTGAACTAATACGCTTTTGATGCATATTCAGTTTAAGCAAAATTGAAAACAATCTAAAGGATTCATTCATGGACTTTGTCCTTCAGTTTTTCCCGGAAATTATGGCCAAACAAGCTCTAATTAAATATTAAATGTTTTTTTTTTTTCAATACATTTTTCACTCGCTTTCCTGCCAGTCCCCAGAGAGCCAAAACAATTAATTATATCGTCAGGCCAATTTCCACAGAGATGGCGCTGTTCCGCTGGTAGGAATCAATAAAAAATCTCCATATAGAAATTGGGAGAAGTGGAAATAATTCGCTTTCGATGTATATTCAGGTAAAAAAGTGAACGACAGCCTAAATACATCATTTATGGACTTTGTCGTTCACTCATTTACAGGAAATTATAGTTAAAAAAGCTACAATCAAATAAAAATTATTTTTCCCAATGCAGTATTACCCGCATTACTACTAGTCCCCAGAGAGCCAAAAAAATCAAATTCTCTCACGAGTTTAATCTCTCAATGTATTTTGATGACACTATTTCTGATTTCCCTTTCACAGACTACAAAATAGAGTACCTGAAACTGCAAAACATGTCTGGTACCTCTATATATGTTTTTTAGATTAACATCCAAAGTCCCTCGTTTTTTTGGATTTTAATTATATAGAGGTACCATACATGTTTTGACGGCACTGCCCTCTGTTAGCAATTAACGGAACTAAGTGTATGCGTAATTTCTTATAGATGTCATCATTAAAAACAGCAGTGACATCTGAAGGGAAATTAACGCAGAGGTATAGTAACGTGATTAATTCAAATTTGAGAGAGAAAATCCTCTCTCACGAGCTCAATATTTCAACATGCCATGTATTTTGATGACCCACGGTTTGAGATTTCCCTTTCACAGACTTCAGAATAGAGTATCTGGCACTGAAAAAGTTGTTGGTACCCTCATGTATGTACTTAGATTAACATCCTAAGTCCCTCCTTTTTTGCATACTTGACACAAAATATACTTTCAGAGCCCAACCCCATTCATAAAAACGGCGGGATATCCTGTTAGGGGCGGGGCTTAGAAAATATAGGTTGTGCCAAGTATGCAAAGAGGAAGGACTTGATGTGAATCCAAATGCATATTTAGAGGTACCAGACGTGT